AAGGAACAAGACGATGAGCAACCCCCTCGACGCCACCTCTGCCGTGATCCACAAGCCACAAATCAATTCGGATTCCTTCAAAAAATTCCATAAACCCTGATCCATTTCAACTTTTACCGCTGCGATCCACTTCCTTATCGTACTGCCTATTTGCAACTAACCTCCTCACTCTCACAGTGGCTTATTGGGCCACCACAGGCATAGATCAACCATGGTGGTGGTGATAAGGGAGATGATGATATTGTGCAATCACAGGTGGGTGGAGAGAGATGGTGACAGTGGTTGTGGCAGTGGGTGCAGAGAGATGGTGGCGGCGATCATGGTTGAAGGGAGATGGTAGCGGTGGGTGGAGATAAATGGTGGCGGTGGGCCGTTGTTGAGGAGAGACGGTGGCAGCGGGTGGAGAGAGAGGGGAAGAGGTGGTGTTGGGTTAGACATGGACGTAAGACTTTAATAGGTGTGGACAAATTTGTCATTTTACAAGTTGAGATAAATTTTTTATTTTTATTAATAAATTGAATTAAATATTCAAGGGTAATTTCGTTTTTTTTCTATCTTTAAGGGCTTGTTTGGCTGGCAGGGGATGTGAGTGTTCAAAAAGGACTAAGTTTCATTTGGCTGTTAATAGGGCAGACCTTAGGGTGTGTGAGTGTAATTAACCCAAAAAAAAAAATCAATAATAAAATCCAAATGAGCACCACATCTAGGTAAAAGAGGTATTTTGCAATGAGAGAAGGGGAAGGGGTATATCCGTCAATGAGACTTGGGTATGAATGTAGTTGTGTGAACTTCTGAAGGCTTTATACGTCTTTTGAGACATGAGAAGGCAAATCCATCATTGTAATAAAAATTTCTGAGAGTTAATGGCAGGAGGTCATTGTAACGATGCTTAGAACATCGGGGGATGGCGGTGTAATAAAGTCCAATCTTAACCACTGAGGAATAAACCCAAACCTCAGGTTCTTAGTGTAATCTATTTTTTTTTTTCTTTTTCTTTTTCTTAGAGCACGTGTATTGGCCCCACAACACATGCACCATTCAAGTCAGGAGTGCGGTCCGAAAGTGAAACCTCAAGGATTTACCTCCCGGATCCTTGCCAACGCCGCTGTGCCCCTGAGGGCGGGTTCTTAGTGTAATCTACCCAATGGATTAAGGTAATGGTAAATATTATAGAATGTCATTGGCTAACCTATGATATTCTCCAACAGTAAATATAATTTAAAAGAAAAGTTGTAACTTAAGAAGCATGGACATGGTCACGACACGACATGGATATGCTGGCACATCAAATCCTAAAAAGTAGGACATGGAAATGGCGTGGACACAACTATTATAAATATAAATTTTTATTTATATATCTCTATTAAGTATCAAGTATGACAATTATAGAACTTTAGTTAATTTATAATTTATATACTAAAGTTGCATAAGTTAAAGTCAAAGTGAATTTAAAGTTGAAACTATTCGAATATCAATAAGAATATATTATATTAAATAGGGTAAAGTGCAATAAACCCCCCTCAACTATACCCCAATAGGCAGAAAACCCCCCTGAATTTCTAAAGTAGCAGAAAACCCCCTTACACTTACTTGTTTGGTTGCAACTTACCCATTCCAGTGCCTTTACCCTACGAATTGTTGGTTTGACACACATTTTGAATGTATATGACCATAGTGCCCTTATGAATATGAAAGGACAACAATACCCATTTTGTTACCATCAATCCAAACATTTATAACTTATCCACACAGCCAAACACCACTGCTCTTTTCACTGTCTATATATATATATATATATATATATATATATATATATCGTCTCTGCTCATTGAACCTCTCTCCCACCCACTGCACCGTCCATGTATATGTATATATACACAAATATATCGTTTCTCAACACTGAACCTCTCTTTCACTATCTATATATATATATATATAGAACTTATTCAACAAAAAATAAATAAAAGAAAATCTCTACAATTTAGCTTAACCCAATCTCCATCACATGGGCAGAGCAGAAAAAAAAAATTCTCCATCACTCTATCTCATTCACACATACTTCATGCCAACATAGTTCAAATCAAGCATCTAAGAGTAAAACATAGTTCAATGCTAAAATTAATTTTTTTTGTGATTAAATTTATCTTCTGGTTACAACATTCACAAAGCACAGATTTTTTTTTTTCCCCTTTTCTGAGTGGTAATGGAATGTGAAATTAGAAGGAATCAAAAAATGGGTTTCAGATAATTTGCTTCTCCCCCCTCACACACATAAAATGATTTTGTTATAAGAAAATAGAACAAAAATGTTAGGCTCGGGTGAATATAGGAACCGATTTGTCAATTTCAGAGTTGGGTTTTGAGAGGATTGTGGTGGGAATGATGGGCACAAGCGGAAGACCCACTTCGTTAGGTCTCATTAGGAGAATGAGTTGTGGTGAGATTGGGCACCCAGTAAGAGATGAATGAACCGCCATACCCAACCGAACAAGACCGATGCCTCTCCTCCTTTGGTGCTGCCGTCGGTGTACCTTTTCTTGCTCAATACGATCATGAGGACGAATTGCTCCGGCGTATTTTCAAAAGCCCTTTTTAATTGATGGTTAGGGTTTCTGATTTGGGACTATGGACTGAGAATTGTTCTTCGAAATGAAGGATTGCAGAGTAGTAGAGAGAGAAGTTTAATTCTCTGCATCAGTGAGAGGCCCTGAGAATTAACCTCCGGCAGAACAGAGGCGTAAAACGCCGGCAACCCAGAAGAAGAAGATGATGTGATTGTAGAGGCTGATTCGTACCAAGGGAGTATGGATTTGAGGAGGTTCTATAGAAGATGATGATGGTTTCTCATAGATGTTACCTCTTTGTGGTTCTTTTTCTTCCGCCATAGACATCGTTTCTTGAGTTCTCTCTTTGGTCCCTTCTTTCTCTCTCTATACATTTCTCTCTATCTCTATTTTATTAGCTGCATTTGCGGGTAAAATGGACTTTTCTAATTTCCGGTGAAAAGAGATGACCGGAATAACCTTCTCTGTCCTAAGACTACACCAAGACCATAGTTGAGGGGGGTTATATGTAGTTAAAGGGGGTTAGTTGCACTTAAGGTATAGTTGGAGGGGGTTTATTGCACTTTACCCTATTAAATATGATATTGCTATCGTTTTTTTTTTTTTTTTTTTTTGATAAGTAAAAATTTCACAGAAAGGCGCTCAAGAGGGGAGTACTCTCAAAGGAATACACAAAAAGGCCAAAGGCGACAACTAACGCTTTAAACTATCCACAAAATCCAAAAGATCCCCCAAAGATTTAGAATTCCACCCATTAACCCAAAAGAATAAAGTATGCAATATAGTGTATTTGAGAGACCAAATAGGAGTCTCCTTGCCCTCAAAATGTCTCCTATTTCTCTCATGCCATAAACCCCACCAAAGACAAAGGGGAGTGGCTCTCCAAACAACCTTGGCTCGGCTTTCCAGTAGACACCCTTTCCAAGCCTCAATCAAATCCACCGTGGTTCTAGGAAACACCCAAACCATGCCAAAAGCAACCAAAAACATAGACCAAACATCCCTTGCCACCGGGCAGTGAATAAGGAGATGATTCACTGATTCCTCCGTCTTCTTGCGCATACAACACCAAATAACCACGATCTGTCGTATTTTGATGACAATCTCATTCCGTATGTAGGAAACTTGCTGGTCAAATTAGGAAGTCCACATTGTTGTAAAAACTACTGTACACATGGTTTTCTAAAATACGGTCAAACTTAGAGTTCACAAAGACATCAAACGAACTCTTGAGTGTGCCAAAAAGCTAAAGATGGAATCAATGGCTTTCTTAACTAGAAGTGTCATATTCTTTTTTTTTTTGAAAGGAATATTGCTAAAAGTAGGCCAACAAATTAAGAAAAAAAAAAAGAAAGAAAAAAAAGAAAAAAGAAAAGAAAAGAAAAGAAAAGATTTTTGAAATATACAAAAATGTCAACAAGGAAATTAAAGGCAAAAAAGGTAAGAAAAGCTAGTGTAGGGCATCCTCCAATTATCTTTATTCTCAAATAAATACAAAGGATGGGATAACAACGTATACAAACTTGCTAAGATAATATTGAGGAAAACTAGTAATCTAATGTATTGAGTGCATAAGAGCAGAGGATTTTCTGGTCTTGGTGAAAGATGACAAGATTAAAGAAAAATAAAAATAAAAAAAGTTACTTTGAGAAATTGTTGAAAGAAAATCATATCGGTAGCTTAGGTTTAGTGGACTATCATTGCTTGAAGAATTTTAAGAAGGAAAAATAAATAAATTAGAATTCAACTGGGATCAGGATTTTCCAGGTAAAATGTCACTAAAAAGTGTCTTACCGTGCCTTTCTTTCTTTTGGTATGTGATTTCTCTTTGTCTAAATTGTGTAAGATAATAATCTAATGTATTGAGTGCATAAGAGCTGAGGATTTTCTGGTCTTGGTGAAAGATGTCAAAATTAAAGAAAAAAAAAAAAAAAGTTACTTTGAGAAATTGTTGAAAGAAAATCATATCGGTAGCTTAGGTTTAGTGGAATACGGTTGCTTGAAGAATTTTAAGAGGAAGGAAAAAAAAAAAAAAAAAAAAATTAGAATTCAACTGGGATCAGGATTTTCCAGGTAAAATGTCACTAAAAAATGTCTTACTGTGCCTTTCTTTCTTTTGGTCTGTGATTTCTCTTTGTCTAAATTGTGTAAGATGTTAACATTTTTTTCAAAATCTGAATAGAATAGGATACGAATCTTGATATTCATTTATTTAATCCAATTTTTTGTTTTTATCCCAGTGGGAGAAGGGGATTGGGAACTCATTTATAGTTTTTTTTTTTTATTGAAAACTTGTTATACTGAGATTATGTTATTGCTTAATGTTTTCTTTGGAGGTCAATGATGATTCTGACATTGCTAACTTTCTGTTATCTCCAATCTGTAAATGTTGTACAATTTTGTCATAAGAGATGGTTCTTTGGTGATATGTTGTAGCATTTTGAAGAATTAAAGGATGCCGGAGTTCAAGTTACAAAGCATATTTTTATGGCACTTATACATGCATATGCAGCTTGTGGACAGCATGAGAAGGCAAAACAGGTACTTTTGCATGTTAATGTAGCTCCTGTTGTCATTGAACCTGTTTGAACTGAAGGTTTTCTGCTTCTACTTGTACCATAACTGCTCTGCTAAGATCTCTGTTGAAGGTCCCCATATTGATGTTTTGATGGATATTTCTCTTTCATTTTATTCTAGGAGAAGTCTATATTTTTCTCAATCTTAGTACAAAGTGCTGAAGCAAAAATTTTGAAGTCTGTTGATATACAATTGTTTTTGAGCCCTTAGTATCACATCAATAATTCCATTTACTTCTCTATTTTACATATTACTTCTTTTTTTCTATAATTTTATTTTGAGACCTCTACCATTGATCCCATGTGCAGATGTTTCTAGCTTCCTTTCCGTGAGGAAATTTAAGGGATGCTGCATTAAGGAGTATATCTAGCTAGGTATCTGAATATGGCAGACCATGCAACCTTGCTCATTGGCTTGGCCAGGGGTTAAGATTAAATCCCCTTCCATTTTCAAAACAACAAAGAGAAATGGGAAAGGGAAAAATAAATTACCAACATTTAATATTTAAGCTTTTTAGTTTTCCCAATTGTCAAAATTTTCTCAATAAACATGTTGATAGTGGTGTTGGTTTGTTAATCATCCTAAATCTTAGATGATAGGTTTCTGGTCATACTATGAAATATGTCCTTCAGTTTTACAATTACTTGTTCTGTCTTGCTACAGATTTTGACGTTGCCACAAAGTTTAGTTTTAATTCTATACTTGACACACACATCCATGCATGCCTTGGTTAAAAGTGCAGTTCGATGTTTTGTCTTGTTTAGATGTTCTTGAATAAAAACCTTGCATAGAATCTTTCTTTCTCATAATTTCTACTTGCTTCACATCAATAAACCTTCTAGACATCTTTCGTCCTCTTTAATTTTATCCACCAACACAAGTTCGTCAAGAAACTTTGCATGCAACAGATTCCCCCCTCCCTCCTCCTTCCCTTCCCTCCGTCTCTGTCTTTTTTGTCTGGTAAGTGCAATGCATCTTCTCATTTGTATGCAAATCAATTAATTATTTAAATAAAACTGCCAAAGAAATGAATATAGAAAATGAACAACTTTCCATCTTTAATACACATATCTAATTTAAAGCTATAAATAATTAATCATTCCTAATGAACAGCTTTAACTTAAAGTTGTATTTAGATTTTCATTCCTGTTTGTCCCATATATCTCTACTCATGTCTCATTTATTTCCAATTTGTTTCTCCTTTGCAAATCACCATGACTTATCTGTTATACAGCCTTACTCAATTTCTAGTCTATTCATGCCCTCTTGACTTATTGTCTGTTTTTTGGAGTTCCAAGATCTTCCAAATGTATCAAAATAAGTTACTATATCTTTTCTCTTTCTTTATTTTGGGATAAGTAGAATTTTTCGTATATTTCTCTTAGGTGATCATCTGTTGATATATGAAAACTTGGCATATTATTGCTTAATATTTGAAATAAAAAATTTTGTGTGCTCATCTTACTGCACTAATTTATGGGCAGGTAGTCTTGGACAAAGGGATACCTGTCAAGAACTTAAATGAAATTAAAAGCGTGCTTCTCATTGCTCTTGCATCACATGGTCAAATGTCTGATGCACTTAACATTTACAAAGAAATCAAAGAAGCAAAATGCAAGCTTGAGCCCAAAGCCATTAAATCTCTTATTGTAAGTTTCTTTAATGAATCTTTCTCTAGTAATTTTTTACCTTCTGAAAAGTAACACTTCTAACCCATATCTCAGGATCATCTTCAATCTGAAGGAGAGTTAAGTAGATTGCTTCAGCTACTTGAGGAGTTAGATGATTCAGATTATTGGCATGATGGATGCTTTAGAATTATCTTATATTGTGTTCAACACAAGCATTTAAGGTCTACTGAAAATAAATATTTACTTTCTTTGTAAAAACTTTTGCATTGTGTAGCTTGTTTATGTTCATGCTTTGTTTTTTTTTTGGCTTAGTTCTGCCATTGATTTGCTCAAACAACTCAAGGACAAGTTCTGTAATGATGAAGTGGCTACTGAAGTTTTCTTAGATGAGGTTATGGTTGTCCCCTCGTTGAATTAAGTTGAAATTGTTAAGCTTCATTTATATCTTCTTTTGAGATTTTACAGCATGTTTTGTGAATTCACAAAGGCAATTATCTAATTTGTTTGTTTGATTTCATTATGATAATCATGGATTAGGTATTTTGCCAAATAGCAGAGACAGAACCTCCAGATTTGCAGATTGGCCTGGATTTGCTTCAAGCTATCAAGGAAGAGCTTGACCTTCGCCCTTCACGAAAATGTCTTGATTTTCTCCTCAGTGCTTGTGTTAATGCCAAAGATGTACATGGCTCTCTCTTGATCTGGAAAGAGTATCAGACTGCTGGCCTTCCTTATAATACCTTAAGTTTCTTAAGGCAAGTGATACTTCATTTTCTTGTATTTATCTTTTAATATTATTTAGTACTTTCTCTATTAAATATATCTTCCCCTCCTGCATTAGAACCTTGATTCTGTGAGAAAATTATACCCCCACACCCCCAAACACCACCACCACCACACACGCATGCGGCATGCGTGCACACAGACACAAAATAAAAAATAAAAAGGAAAAAAATTCCACTCATTTGTCTGTCGGGTCATGTCTAGTAGGGACTTCTTCGTGTTTTTATGGATTTAATGATTTTATTTTTTTATTTTTTTGCTTCTTACTTTTTAACGTTTTGAGCTGAGAATCAGAACAGAAGTGTCATTTAAATGTCTGATTATCTGCTCGATTGGTTAACAAGTATCGAAGTGAAATTATGCCAGAAGGAAAGGGGTACTCGTACAGGAAGATTTCACATTCCAAAAAACTTGTTTACACTTATATTATGATGTCATGGAATTTCGCATTATACTTGTGAGATAGTAGATAATTTTATTGATTCTCATTGTTTTGGTCAATTTTCATCCTTGTCATGCTTATGCAGGATGTATCAGGCCCTTTTGGCTTCAGGAAACCATAAATCTGCGACGAATATGCTAAAACATATACCAAGAGATGATCCCCATGTTCGCAGTGTCATTAAAGCATGTCAAGCAACTTACAGCAAGTTCACTTCCGAGAAAGGGAATAAGAAGAATATAAGATGAACAGTGAAGAAATGAGTCTGTGAATGCAAATGAAGAAAAAAGAGATAGAGAGAGATTAATGTCCAATCCAACTTATAGCATATCCAAAGCCTTTTATTCGGAAAACGTTATTCATATATTATTGAATCATACCATGAGGTAGTTGGAACCCCCATTTTACCATTTTTGCTGCTTTTTTATCCATATATATTTTTTATTTAAAAGGGGAAAAAAAAAAAAAAAAATACAGAAGATAGTTCTCCCATATTCGGTGAAACATATTCCTTGCATATTCTTCGATCAGGATATGGAAGCTAGTAATTGTGGTCCTCGGCATTGTCTGGGCAACTGCAGCTAACTTGAACACGGTGGTAGCATTGATCTTTTGCATTTCTGGAAATAAGTAGAGAAGCTGTAAATTTCATACAGATTAAGCACCAAAGCTGGCTAACACAGTGTGTAAATTATAGACGAGCCTTGTTCGGATAACTAAAAACAGTCCAATATGTTTATTTTTTTTGGCTACTTGCATTGTTTTCTTTTACGTTCAAAGGATGCATGGATTATGTGGGTTTCTGTCTCTACATCTGTGTTGTTAAGAGTTGCATTCCAATTTAGAGTGCCTGAAAAATGTCTAAAAATTATCTAGTGGCTGATTGCCTTTACAAACCCTATTGCTGCCTCTCTCCGACTCTCCGTTCTTTTCCCTTTTTTATTTTTTTGGTCTTCTTACTGTGAATTTTCTCTCTAATGGGTGGTCTCTACAAATCTCCACCACTACGACGGTCGTGAATCCTCCAACGTGATCAATTTGCCTTGTTTTTGGTCAGTGATTATAGAACATATCTTTCTAATTTATAAAAATACTCCAAAAATTTCATATTGACCACTAATAAAATCCTAAACTCTGTCAACTATAAGAATTTTACCTACAAAATAACCCTGATCAATATTCCCTTCACCCGCCGCCACACCCATAGCCGCAACCCACGCACGCTACAATTGCAGCACGCCGTCGCAACCCACGCACACTACAACCGTCGCAACCCACGCACACTATAACCGCAGCACACAGCCACATCAAACACAACACACCCACCACCGCGCACATACCTCATTTGGGTCAAACCCTGTGTCAAAATCCGTGAGTCATTGTTTTTATAACCGAAAGAAGATGATGGAGATGAAGAGAGAAGAACACGCAAAAAAATAATACGGAGTATACGTAAGTTAAAGGTAAATGAGACATTAGAAATATTTTTTACTTGGATTCAATATTTAAGACGGCCAAAAATGTTGTTTTGAAGGGTCCTTAGGGTCGCATGTGGCTTTTGTTTAGCTCTCGGGCCTATTTTCGTCTTGAACACTTCCGAATTTACTTTTACATATCAATATAGAGAGAGAGAGAATTGCTCACTTGTGAATCAGGTGAACTAACCAAATCGGAATCTGTACCACCTGCAAATGAGAATAACCTTAAGAGAACAAGATTTCAAAGGAAAAAAATAAAAGAAAAAGAAAATGTAAGTGAGACCCCTATAGGACAAGACTGATGACCTGGTGGAAATTGTAGGCCTTTCTATTCTTAGTATTCAAACTAATTACAACTTGACCATAACAGCAATCGACTAACTTTCTACACTCTAACCATTCCTCCGAAATAATAACAGCGAAGAAAAGAAAACAATTACAAATTTTTTTTCCCCAATTATTAACAAAGAAGCAACGAAAAAGGAGAAGCCTGTGGTCGAAATACTTCGTTTAAGATTTAAATTTTTTTTTCTGTTTTTTTTTTTTTTTTTTTAAACACGCACATACCGCATAATAAGGCAGATATCTCCCTTGATAGTAATGCTCTGCTGTTGTGACAATGAAGTGATGTAAGATAAAGAAGATGAAATTAATCAAACATTTCTGGTTTAGGCATAAATCATTATAAAAATAAAAAATAAAAAGTTTCTTATTTAGAAATTTGAATTCTTTTCCCTCAATTTTTTTCGAGAAAGCATTGAGAGAAGGAGAAGGAGAAGAAGAAGATGAAGAAATACGTACCAAGAGGATGTGACGGTGCTGCATCGAAGTTGTTGGATTGGGATGGAGATGGAGATGGTGGCTTATTATGCGGTTACCTAATCTTAATGGAACGTTGAGCGACAGGAGATGAACTATTATCTATGGATGAGACGAACTTTTTTAGGGTTTCATCGTCGACTTTGGAGGTGGTTTTAATGGCGGAACGGAACAGCGAACTTAGCTTTTTAGCTTTGTAGGAGGGCCTGCCATGAGTGTGAAGTTTCCCATTTTTCTATTTTCCATTTTCGTGCATTTTTTTCAAATTTTCTGAATTTATTTAATTTTATTACCTCGTTTGGCGTGTCACACTGGTGCCGAAGGGCGTTTTAGTCATTTTCTCTAGCCAAGGGTTCTAGAGATGTATTTTAATCATTTTAAGTCATTTAGAGGTGGTGGTGTCATTTTTAAAAAATTTCGAGGTCGGGATGATTTTCGGGTTCGAGGACTTCTCCCGATTTTCTCATTTTAAGTAAGGGGCAATATGGAAATTTCACTCATATATTCATATTCATATATCTACATAATTGGGAAGATATTTTGGAGGATAGAGGAGGCATTACATTGAATAAGTAAGGGCAAGATTGAAACTTCACCAAAAGTATAAAGCATTCCTTACTTGACAAATGGCACCATTAGGACCACTTGACCAAGTGCAAGACCAACTTTTCCGCCTCCTCTTTCATTTTTTTCGGGCATCCCTCTTCCTCCTCTTTGTCTTTCATTTTCCTCTCTCTATATTTCATATCTACATCACATATATGTCACATATGTTTCAACCTTGGATTTCGGAAGATTAGAAGGTGCTTTTGGTGATGCCATAGAGAGGAAATTGGTGAGCTTGAGGAGAGTTTCCATTTGGCACCCATATTGCTAGGGGTTGGGAGAGTTCAAATTTTGGCTTAGCCTTAGGCCTTGTTTGGCTAATCACTTTGAGGAAGGGGTTCCTAATCCACGAAATTTCTTATTCCTTTGTGAATTTCCTTTATTCATTATTGCCTAGTATGTTTATTTTGTGTTGATTACCTCTAAAATGATTTATTTGATGTGTATGAAATTCATGAATATGTGTACAAGTTGGTTTATATGAGAAGCATGGTCAAATGTTAATTTTCTATGATTATTGTGTTGTCAACTTGTTACAATTGCTATATGAAAGCATGTTGCAATTTCCTTGGAAGTTTTTGTAAAATATGTTATGTAGTTTAAGTTGAATTAATTATAAAATGATGATTATTGACATAGCATGATGCATTTTTGCATAAACATTGGGAAGAAAAAGGGAAAAATTGTTTTGAAATGAAAAAGGGGAATTCTTGGAACATAGTTTTGATAAAAAGAGTTTTGAGAAAATCCGAACGCCGCGGATGTACCAATGGTCCATGGAGTTAATGTAACCTATAGGGAACTGGGGAAATCACTGTAGCGTGGTTGAGCTATCTGGCCCCAAGTGACGCCGCGGAGGTACCAAAGGTCAGGGACAGTAGCCAATCCTTCTCTCATGTCGCCGCAGAGTCACCAACGGACAGATTATATTAACAGTTTGAAAAGTAATGAATGATTTTGAAAATGGGGAGCGACATAGCAGGGCGTTGCATTTCATAGCACCATATTGTTCATTTGTAATTGAAATTGATGTTGTATTTTCTCCCAGCATAGCATGATCTCATTCCCTATTAGTCTATTCATTGTTTGGATTCACGGGGCCACAAGAGGTGTGCCTTAGGCACTACCTACTGAGCAATTTTGCTCACCTTTTTATTATTAACATTTTTCAAGGCATAGCAAAGAAGTGGCGGACGACAATCCACCACCTGTTTAATCGGTTTGACAGACTTGAACTCTTTTGTGCTCAATGTGTATTTCACCCCTTTTTTTTGTAAAAAGTGTTAGGGATCCTTTTGTATCTTCTACATGGTTGAAAATGGTCTTGAGACCATTCATTTGTATTTTGTGGTCTTATTGTGATTTCAATATCCATGTAATGCCTTAGGGCCATATTTTTTATATATGACAAACTTGTATAATTTTAATGGTGTATCGGACTTATGTATGGCCTTATTTGATTTCATTACTATCTAATTGTGTTAGTTTCATCATTAAATCCAATATTTGGACAGGTTTGGGCATTGAATAGGGTCACCAAGGGACCAAAGTAGTGCTAAGGTGAACAAAATCACAATTTCAGGCTGTTTGGGGCATTTTGAGGTTCTGGGCATCTTGACCGGTTCAGCCCCATTGAACCGGTTCAAGGGGGGGATCTTTGGTTCGAGAATGGGCACACTGCCCATCTTGAACCGGTTCAGGATTCTTAAACCATTTCAAGTCCCTCAGTGCACTATTTTGTCTTCTTCAGTTGACAGCTTGGGATGCTTGACTTCAAATAGTCATAACTTCTTCATTCGAAACCCAAATAGGGTCATTCTTAAGCTTATTTTCAAGGATTTTGAGTTAGCTTTCCAATGAGACCAACCTCATCCTCAAATTCCTTTCATGTTGAGAGTTATGGTCTTTTTAGTGGGGCAGTGTCAGAATTTCCCTTGAAACGAGTAAGGGTACTTTTGGGAATTCATATCCGGTGACCATAGAACCTTACCGAACATTATGGAATGTCTACCATAATTATTTTAGCCTTTATTTGACTAGTTTAAGGTCCTATTACCCTCTCACAATGTAAAATGACCATTTTACCCCTAGTGTATCATCGGGTTTGGTTAAGGACCCGGTTAGTGATCCGGACCCCGATTTGGGTCATTACAGTGAGATTTAAAATATTTTTAGAGGCCCTAGATGAACTTTCACACACGCAAAAAAATTTACATGAGTACGAAATTTTCACACGTTGTTTTCAAATTCTATAGCTAATATAATTGTGTGTTTATACATTATGCATAAGACATAAGACAACTAACTAATAAATAATTGTGCGTCTGTGCAGTGTGCTTAAGATAACTAACTAATACATTATATGAGTATGGCTTGACTTTGACTTATATTTGGTTTCTCCGTTAAGCTAAGTCTTAGAATTTGTCATACCTATCAGAAGTACTCTATGTAGACGTAAATCCTTAAAACATCATTAATAATTTATAATCATAAAAATTACTATATTGCCCTTAAGTTAAAATCTTGAGGTCAACAGTGCATACCCACTCCCAGCACATCACATGATCTACTCAATGTAGACATAAATTAGGACAACAACATGGAACATAGGGGCATTAACTGGTAGGTGTAATGAATTAATGAATACCTTAAAATGAAGAAAAAGTAAATATAATTTGCTTACAAGAGACTAATGCTTTATTCGGTAGGAAGGAAGGAAGAGGGGTGAAGGGGAAGATAGGAAAGAAGGAATAAACTTTCATCATTTGGTAGAGAGAAAAACACGGAGAATAGTGATAATAGGATGGATGAGTTATCTTTCCTCCTTCACAAAATTTCATCCCTCCTTCATAAATTACAATTCTATAAATAATAATGCTCTGATGAGTATAATGGTAAAAATAACTTAGAACTCTTCCCTTTTTTCCTAACAAACACAGTCAATCCAGTTTATTATTTTCTCTTCCATCCAACGCAACAAAAAGAGGGAAGGAGTGAATGACACAATCTCTTCTTTACGGATGTCTCATCTATCCATTATTCACTCCCTCCATCCAATTTTTTCCCTTCCTATAGAATGAAGCATAATGGAAAGGTGAAAATGCTTGGGAAATAGGGAAAGGATAAAAACTTTTTTACTCGGAAGGGAAAGATAACCAACAAAACATAGTAGGTATAGTAGTAGGTAATTACACGAGGGATAAAGCAGTAGATGTGAGAAGACAAGCAAATGAATAAATAACTACTAAAATTGTCTTAGATGAAAATATCTTGAATACACTAAGTGCGTAAGTGCCTTAAGGAGCATTAGATGACAACACAAAGAAACTATTTGGGACTCGTTAGATGAATTGATACAATCTCTACCTAATCATGAAAACACATTTGTAAGGGGTGATTTTAATGGACAATGAGGTGTGGATAGGATAAGATATATATGTATCCATGGAGGATATGGTTTTCGGGAACGTAGTGAGATAGGTGAAACACTTTTAGAATTTGCAAAAGCATACGAGTTAGCGATAGCAAACACTTTTTTTAAAAAAGCAAAGAACATTTAATAACATTTGAAAGTGAAACATATAAAGCGCAAGCTTGTATAAAAGAAGGGAATGGGCCACATATAAAGATTGTATAATAATTCCTGGGGGAGACCTCACAAACGAACATCGCTTATTAATTTTAGACATATTAATTGAAAGGTTTTAGTATAAAAAGGGACATAAAAACATTAAGTGGAAAGGTTTAAAGAACAAGCCTTATAGGGAAAGCAATGGGATTGGAATGATAATGTAAATAACTTTTGGCTCAAAATGGCAAATCATATTACAAAGAAATGGGCATCGCTCAACATATTTGTTCCTCCACCCCAGGATTCATTCTATAAGATATAGCCATATGGGTTGTTTATACCTATATTAAGCCCGACCCTAGTCTTACTACACTTGATAGAATTAGGAATTTAGGATTTAAATTTATAAACTATTATGGTTTCCTGTATAAAGGCACTTCAACAGTATGATGCAAAACAGTAAACTAATTCATATCACCCAAGGAACAAAATTAATATGATAAAGGTGCAATGTAATTCACTTAATACATAACGTGCAAGAAATGTTGGGGCATCTCGAATCAATCCCCAAAGCTTCACATATAATGGAAAGCTGAAACTACCAGGATCAACATATGTGCCATGAGACTTCTTGAATTATCATTTCCAAAAGTTACTCTCTTGATCTCCAACACGAGATTGTTCTTTTCATGAGTAAGACTTCCAAGAAGATAAAACTAATTTAGTCCAAGAGGAGAGCAGAAAATCTAAGGATGGTGTGTGGAGATATTTACAAGGAAATATATAATATGTGATGACTCTGGATTTTTAAACCCAGTGCGTCCTGTGCTGACCCATTGATGGGTCTGAATGCGGAAGCAAAGTATCGGAAATATGACAAAAATAGTCCCAAGGTCAAAATGGTTATTTCTAAAAATATATAGATTCGGGTATTACCGAGCACACCGCTGGAAAGACAACGAAAAACTAATCGAGATGGACTCAAGAATCACATGATTCGGAATCCGGATGAAGGAGAAACGACAAAACAAAGAAAAACGAGCAATAAAGTTAAAAGGGCAAACTGGTAATTATCCAAAAATATTCAGGTGTAAATGAGCACACTGTTAGATAGGCAATGTAAAATTTATCAATTTCAAAAAAAAATTCACTTGATTTGGAGTCCGGATGAGGGAGAAAGGTCAAAAA